TCGTGGGATGATGTGTGTTCGAAGCATTAAATACGGAGAGACATGCGTCTAATCAACCGTCAGAAGTTTTTTTTTAGAAGGAATGATAGTAGTTTCCCTCAAAAAGAGTGTTTCTACTAAATTCCTGGTGACACAAAGTTGTGCCACCGAAAATCAGGGGGACTATCTGTATACGGTAAAATATTTTTGCCACCGGAAACTAGGGGACTATCTGTATACAGTAAAATATGTTGCTACAGGTGGACGCTTAAAAAATGACACGTGGAACCTAAGGCAAGTGATAGTCAGAATCGAATGCAATTATTTCGTTTGTTACCTGAAGAAACGACACTCATAAAGAGGGAATAAATACCTTCCGCCTGGTAGCATTTAATGAAAAATATTCCACAGCATTTAGTATACTGCCCGTTACAAAGGGATATGGTATTTATGCCTACCGTTACACACTCTTCAAAGGCACTCATAATTGGCATTGAATAGGGGTTTGATCCTAGGTCCTTATTCCCTAGATGTAACTATAAATATTGAGCTTTATTACCATTGTAAGGACATGAATTTTTTGGCAAACGAATGCTATAATCTATTCCAAGCTTTATACAATCTTACTTTCTTGTTCTTTAGTCTCATCATTGTTAGGCTCGGAAGCTCTGCCCCTGGAATGACTGCTTTCTATGATTTCATCTACATTTCAAGGCTAAGTGTAGCATATTTCGTTAATCCTTTCATTATCACAGGATCAAATTAATTCACTTATTTAGAAATCATGTATAAATTCAAATGTACCATTTTACGGGTAAACATATGTCTATTTGATAATTGGTGATAACATAAAGTGACTATTAATGTATTTCAGCAAACTCAAATACAATCTTATTCAACATTTATGTGTATAAAAGGATGTGGGGTACGAAGAAGATGCCAGATGAATGTAGGTGGTGTATGATGATACCGCCGCAAGAACAAATGTGATATTCATAATTGCAATAACTATAGGGGCATCAAGTTACTAAGTCATACCATGAAATTTTGGGAGAGGGCTATGGAAGGGAGGGGTGAGAAGGGCAGTGTCTATATCCAAAAACTAGTTCAGGTTCATGCCGGGTCGTTCTACTACAGAAGCTATCCACCTTATTAGGACATTGGTGGAACAGTACATGGATAGGAGGAAGGATCTACACATGGTGTTTATTGACATAGAGAAAAAAACGTATGACAAGGTTCATAGAGAGGTTCTTTGGAGATACCTGGAGGTGAAAGGTGTGCCGGTAGCCTACATTCGGATGATAAAGGACATGTATGAGGGAGCTAAGACTCAGGTTAAGAATGTGGGAGGTAACTCGGAGCACTTTCCTATTGTTATGGGGTTGCACCAAGGATCTGCGCTCAGCCCATTCTTATTTGCCCTGTGATGGATGCACTAACACACCATATTCAAGGGGAAGTGTCATGGTGTATGTTGTTCACTGATGATGTAGTTCTGATTGATGAGACGCGATGTGACATTAATGAGAGGCCGAAGGTTTGGAGGCAGACCCTTGAGTCTAAAGGTTTCAAGTTGAATAGGACTAAGACATAATATCCAGAGTGTAAGTTCAGCAATGCATCGGGTAAAGCGGACATGGACGTAAGGCTCGACTCACAAGTCATCCCCAAGAGAGGAAGTTTCAAGTACTTTGGGTCAATTATCCAGGAGGATGGGGAGATTAACGAGGATGTCACATACAATATAGGAATGGGGTGGATGAAATGAAGGTTATAATCTAGAGTCATGTGTGACAAGAAAGTGTCACTAAAACTTAAAGGCAAGTTCTATAGAGCAGTGGTTAGACCGGCCATGTTAGGTAGCCAAGAATTCTCATACCCAAAATATGAAAGTAGCGGAAATGAGGATGTTGAGGTGGATGTGCAGGCACACTAGGCTAGATAAGATTAGAAATGAAGATATTCGGGAAAAGGTGGGTGTAGCTCCCATGGACGACAAGATGGGGGAAGCGAGACTTAGATGGTTTGGGCACATACAAAGGAGAAGCATAGATGCCCCGGTTAGGAGGTGTGAGCGGTTGACATTGGCAGGTATGAGAAGAGGTAGAGGGCGGCCTAAGAAGTATTAGGGTGAGGTGATCAGGCAAGACATGACGCAACTTCACATCTCCAAGAACATGGCTCTGGATAGGAAGGTGTGGAGGTCAAGCATTAGGGTTATATGTTAGGAGGGAGTCGAGCGTTTTTCTACGTTATTCTAGGGGCTGGGCTGGGCTGATAATGTTTCGTCTTGGTTTGTTAGTGGTTTATGTAGTTTCCACACTACTTTCTATGGCATTATTACTAGTTATTGTTATTGCTCTTACATTTATTTTCTGTGTCTTACATGATGCTGATATTATTTTTTTGGCGTTTGTTGTTGTCACTGATCTATTGTCTATTATTTATTTTTTTCTTCTTGAGCCAAGGGTCTTTCAAAAACAATCTTTCTACCCCTCCAGGGTAGGGGCAAGGTCTGCGTATACTCTACCCTCCCCAAACCCCACTTGTGAGATTTTATTGCGTTGTTATTGTTGTTGTGTATTTATGTGTATAAAAGGGGTAAACTCGATAGCAATGTTGCTCCAATATATAACAATAAATACTTTCCGACTTATAAAATAAAAGACAAAATAAACATTTAATATTTAACACATAAATAAATAAAGTCATACTAAAATCCAAAAGCGCCAGTTAATTAAATCCAATTTGACAAAATATGTAAATTGTATCATATACAAATTGTTACATCCCGCATTTTCGTACGATAAAGTTTCGTCGTAAGTTATTCGACGTATGTTCGGAGATGAGATTATTGTGAGATTATAAGTATTATGTTATTTTAAGCAAGTGATAATTAAATTCGTGAAGGTGAGAAGGTAAGCAAATCGACGAAAATGAATTTCGTCGAAGTTTGGCATTTTGAGATAAAATACGGTCCGGACTATAAATACCCGATATTTATGGACTAGCACCATACAAGGTACCACATGATCATGATAGTATGATGTATAAGATATTTAAAAATAAGTAGTATTTTAAGTAATATGAGACAATTCTTAATTATACGGGTAATTATTTAATTACCGGGTAGCGGGATATTACCTAATTAATTAATTAAAAAAACTATTTGGATAAAGATGAAAAAGAGTAATGTGGCAGCATGCCACTCTTTAAAAATATGACTCTTGATCAATCTTTATTAGGTGGCAACTAATGTGTTAGTACACATTCATTTCATTACATTTCCAAAACTTTACATATCGAATACATTTCAATTAGAAGTGGGAATGTTTGCTATCTTTGTTGGTTTTCAACTTTCCATTCTAAAAAAAAAAAACCTTCAAATTAGATTTTTTATACCTTAAGCAACATGATTTTTACGAGCTTCAACGATTCCAGCGAGAAATTTTAGAGTCTTAGAAACGGAGAAATTTTGCGGTTCTAAAGAAGTATGGTGTAATTTTTTTCAAGAATATCATACGGATTTTTCCTTACTCTAGGTATGTTAAGGCTAAGTCGTTATTTCATTTTGCATGATCTCGTCATTACACAAGTTTGGTAACGAGACATAAAGAAAAATTCATATACAGAATTTACGCATATTTTGCTAGTCTCGCAAATTACATATATTTTCCTAATTTTGTAAGTTACCATATTCTCCTTATTGGGACTTCATATTCAATTGAGTATTTCCTTCTTCTAGTGAAGAGAACAGAGAGTTTATATATACAGTATTACAGTATTTTCATTACCATCGAGCTATAATCGATGGGCAGACCCCTATTGAGCAACCTCTAATCAGATGGTAAGTTATATATCAAGCCTAGTGTGGCCGAGCGATATGAGCGAGCCTAGTTGGTCGAGATACAGAGCCTTGTATGGTCGAGCGCCGATAAGCAAGCCTACTGCGACATAGCAGTTATATATATATACTGAGTCTTATAGGGCCGGACAACTATTTTACTTTCTAAATTGAGAGAGTTGAGTCAGTATCAGCAGGTAAGCATATCTTCACATTATCTTTGACTTCCAGCTACTTGCAGTTATTATATTATTAGTTCAGTTTCAGCTTTCAGTATATTGCCTTACATACTCGATATATTATTTCGTATTGACGTCCCTTTTCTGGGGTCGCTGCATTTCATGCGTGCAGGTTCAGACAGACATGCGAGTAGACCTCCTCATTAAGTATTGTCCGAGTTCAGCTTGATCGGTAAGCTCCATGCCTTTCAGAGTTGCCCGGTCTAGAGCTTTATGTAATCTTATGTATATATGTATATATATTATGAGTAGGTCGGGGAGCTATTCCGATCACAGTATATCCATCAGCAGAGGCTTTTAGACATATCCTGTCAGTTAGTGCAATATGTTGGGCTTGTAGGTCTTGTATGTATATTTGTTTGGTTTGTCGGCTGAAATAATTATGACGGCACAACTTTATATTGATATTTAGTCAGCATTCGCAGTTGTCTTGCAATGCGGCCCATGACCAAAGTTTGACATCACATGTTCAGAGTCCCTTAGTCGCAAGTTGGTACGCAAGGATAGGTGATGCACCAGGTGCCAGTCTTGCCCCAAGGTTCGGGGCATGACAAAAACATAGTTAAAAAAAATACAATATAACCTCTTTAAAATAAATAATAGTCGATAAATATATAATATTTATATATTAAATTATAATGCACATATTTTATATATATTATTGTATATCTTTATATATTTAATTAGCAGCTAGAATTATTTTTATTGACCGATCAAAGTTGTTAAGACCCCCTAAAGAGGGTTTGATTTAAGCCTCGATTTTGAACAAGCTCAAAGAACTTATGTCTTCACAGGTCAAGCCAATTTTAACAGTCATTTCGATTCTAACCGATAAGTAATTTGATGGTATACTTATTATACAAGTACTTACCTTGTTGAGTAACTTGTGTGCGAGACGTATAATACATAGGCAAGCTTACCCTTTTTGCCTTTTTTTGGAAGTTCCATGTAAAACAGTTTAGGTTAATGTAGAATCAAGCCTGTATACTCTTGAAGGGGGAGAAAAGGGAAACAAAGGAAAAAATAAGTTATAGTGCAGCGAACTCCCAATGTTGCGTCTCTCTATAAAATAAAATAAAAATGTGGATACTGACAAGATACGCCTTTTGGGTTCCGGCTCGTACGTTCAGACGGGCAGCTGCCCAACAGATTCCGGCGGCGAGGCGTGTAGTGAGTAGCTGGCAAAAGGAGAAGGTGGAAAGAATGAAGTACGTTGTGGTAACAGGAGGGGTGGTGAGTGGTTTGGGGAAGGGCGTCACAGCAAGTAGCATCGGTGTTGTTCTTAAAGCCTGTGGCCTTCGGGTTACCTCCATCAAAATTGGTTTGTGTTTCTTTTTAATTGTGCTTACTTCACTACTGCTACTCTCTTTTGTTTCCACAATATTCATGCGTTTTGCAGATCCTTATTTGAACACTGATGCTGGTACCATGTCTCCTTTTGAGCATGGCGAGGTTTTTGTGCTCGATGATGGTGGAGAGGTTCCTTCCTTCTCTTTGTTTTTCTCTATTGCCGTATTGCCCTACTTCACTTCAATAATTACAACTTTACTTCATTTATAATGGATATTTATTGTTACCTAAATTCTTTCCCCTTGTTCAACTCTTGCCATCAATACTCTCTTCCATGAAAATTATCAGAGAGAATACCGTGTTCTCATCAATATAATGTTGCAAAGCTTCAAAGATGTTCGCTCATTCTTTGCAATATTGCTGTGCTTCAACAGGTTGATCTAGATTTAGGAAATTATGAACGATTTCTCGATGTGACATTGACTAAAGACAACAATATCACAACTGGAAAGATATATCAGGTGCTTATAGATATACACGAATGCATGTCTGTGTGTCTGTGTTTGGATATGCTTCCCTTTAACACCAAACAAGTTTTTTTATGCACCAGTCTGTACTAGAGAAGGAAAGGAAAGGTGATTATCTCGGAAAAACTGTTCAGGTGATTATACTTTGTTGCCGCTATATGATGTATGAGAAAATCAGTGTAAAAGAAACCTCTTACTAA